TTTTTTGTGTGTCTTAGACGGGGTAATATTTTCATAAGAAATACCGTAGAAATAATAAAAATACCATTTCACTGTCCCAGGATTAACGTCTTATCAAAAATTTCTTATTGTCTTTGATGGATGTCAGTATAATTGCACTTTTGATGGTTGCGGCGCAGATTGCTATTCCTTATTTTTCCGATTTGTCTTGAACAGGGTATGGATTTTTACTTTTCAGTGTCTTAAACAGGGTCAGGGATTTATACCGCTGGCGGCACGTACCTATCCAAAATGGGGTCGAGTACCCCCCCGGGAAGTACGGACGGGGATGCGTATTTACGTCTACGCCCCAGCTGAACTAGTCAGTGAACTAGTCGAGAGGAGGAGCTGTATGACCTGAAAAAAATTTAAATCGGTCTCACTCAAACCTAAAACAACTCTTAGAATCATTGCTCTCTTTGTTTGCTTCAAGATCGATCGGTTCTTCTCAGTTTACTCACCATAAGAAATGGTGTTTTTGTTCGAAGTGTCGTTTGTATAATACAATTTACAAAACGGTTTCTTCGCAAGACGATCTTTGGTAATGGGTTCCCTGTGTATTGTTCTACGACCAAGAACGAAAGGCCAGGCGATCGAGCTGAGCGTCCTCTCGTGGCGCGGCGACCAAGGTACCTTCATCCTGCCTTCGACCTTTAGTAAGTCGATTTAAAATTCACTAGTACAATTCTAAAAGTGTTTTCCTCGTATTTTATAGACTTTCCAAAGCCAATTTGGGCCTTTTCTTTATAGGTGAAGCGTCCGCCATATTGGATTTTGATGTTTAATGTGGCTTTGTTTCGGTTTTTAGGTTTTTTTTTGCCTGCTTGTCGTGCTCCTCTAAAAGAAAAGTGTGCTATTGTCAAATGCAGCGTTTGTTGATCATTTTGATGAGTTATTTTAGGCCAGTTAATCCACAATGATGGCGAAAATAGTTTGTACCTACRTGAGCGACGTATCGACATTTTTAATTATATTTTTTTTACAGCTTTTCCTGTACTACTTAATTTACAAGAGCTCGCTTTTACTAGGCTTAAAATTTCAAAGAGTGCATCATCTCACTTTAAATTGAATTTATTCTATATTCTACCTCACTAAACCAAATTCCATGTGTACTTTGTAAAGTAAATGTAGATGCTTGTCAAATACACAGAGAAGCAAAGCTGTTTTTTTCTGCTTTTAGCTTAAAAAATTATGCAGCTTATTATATTGATAGATTAGATAGATTTTAATAAGATACCTTCGCTGCCAAAGGGCTGAATTATGGTAAATTCCAAAATCTAAGTCTAAATGTGACAAATATATATAAATTTATATATAATTATGTACAGCCTTTTGCAAAAATTATGAGAATTGTTGAAATATCTAAATATCATAATATCGAGTGCATGATGGGTAA